AAAATTCTGGACAGTATTCCAAAAGAGATTATTAAAATGCAAATACTGGATTTTAAAAAGATAAACTTAGGGACTTCTGCCAAGATGGAGGCATAGGTGGAGATACCATGCTTTCTCTCACAACCAAGTTTAGAGACAACAAAATATTAGCAACAGAAAACACAGCCAGAACACAGAAAATTGAACTTTTCCGAAGTCTGATAACAAATTCTTCAGCCTGACCGGTAAGAGGGGCAAAGCTAGCAGCTGGCGGAGCGGGTTTGCACAAGAAAACTCAGTCAGACGGACTCAGGCGCGCGGATCCCAGGCATGGGGTTGCAACGGGGGGACCCAGTGAGCGACCCAGTGAGTGATCAGTGGACCCAGCGAGGGCGCAGGGTGGCGGGTTGACTGGTGGCGCAATCCTGAGCAGATAGACCAGCGAAGGAGTGGGCAGTGAGAGGGGACCCAGCAGGTCCCAGCGGCCGGAGGCAGCAGAGGGAGGCAACAGAGGGGGAGCCATTTCCCCGCTCTGACCTCACCCCCACATACAGCATCACAAACCAGCTAGCGACCCCGCCCTGGTGGCCCCACCCCACCCCTAAGGCTCCGCTCCTCATACTTAACAGGGCGCAAACAGACCAAAAATGGCTCAAGAAGATCTCAAAGCACCAGAGCCCATAACTCTAAGCGACGAAGAAATAGCAAAAATTTCAGATGCACAGTTCAAAACACTGGTGATCAGGATGCTCACAGAACTGGTTGATTTTAGTCACAAATTAGAGGAACATATGAAGGCTAAACTAATTGAAATGAAGGGAATTGCACAGGAAACCAATAGTGATGAAAAGGAAACTGGGACTCAAATCAGGGAGTGAACCAGAAGGAAGAAAAAAATGAACAAACAGGGAAATATGAAGAAACAAGAATTCAAAAAATGAGGAGAGGCTTAGGAACCTCCAAGACATCTTTAAACACTCCAACATCTGAATTATGGGGGTACCAGAAGGGGAAGAGGAACAGCCACAAGTGGAAAACTTATTTGAACAAATAATAAAGGAGAATTTCCCCAATCTGGCAAAGCCAATTGACTTCCAGGAAATCCAGGAAGCTGAGAGTCCCAAAGAAGTGGGACCCAAGAAGAAACATACCAAGGCACATCATAATTACATTAGCCAAGATTAAAACAAAGGAGAGAATCCTAGAAGCAGCAAGAGATAAGGGGACAGTCACCTACAAAAAACTGTCAGTGGATTTCTCAAAAGAGACCTTACAGGCAAGAAGGGGCTGGAAAGAGGTATTCCAAGTTATGAAATGCAAGGACCTACATCCAAGGTTGCTTTATGCAGCAAAGCTTTCATTTAGAATGGAAGGGCAGATAAAGTGCTTCTCAGATAAGATCAAATTCAAGGAGTTCATCATCACCAAGCCCTTGTTATATAAAATGTTAAAGGGACTTACCTAAGAAAAAGAAGGTAAAAAAGATGAATAGTGAAAGGACAGCAAACTCACAGTTATCAAGAACCACATCTAAAACAAAAGCAAACTAAAAGGACAGCTAGATCAGGACCGGAAACATAGAAATGAAGATCTCATGGAGGGTTAGCAACAGGGGAGTGGGAGGAGGAGAAGGGGGGAGAAGGTACAGAAAATAAGTAGCATAGACGGTAGGGAGAAAATAGATAGGGGGAGGGCAAGAATAGTATGGGAAATATAGAATCTAAATAACTTGAGACACATGGTCATAAACTAAAGGGGGGAATGGTGGGGATGGGGGTGCAGGGTGGAGGGGAATGAAGGGGGGGAATAGAACAACTGTAATGGCATAATCAATAAAATAAAATTAAAAATATATATAAAAAATAAAAGATAAACTTGAAAAAACTTTCTATCACACTTTCCATTTGGTCTGTGTAGCTCTTACAACAAATAAGTTTACTGCTTTGTCTAGGCTCTCCATAAGGCCAAGTTTTCCCTTTGTTCCAGTAAACATCTTCTTTGCTGTCACTGAATTAATGACATTAACTTATATCTGTATCTAGTTATAGCTCATTTTATGCCCCTAAGCAATGTATCATATGGCTGACACTCAGTTCAACACTCCAATTGACAGACATCACTATAAATTCAAGCTGTGATTCATAATACAAAACCTAAAATACATTTTACACCCTGATTATAATGCAGCATACCCTTGTGAAAGAGAAGTGGCATACAAGAAATACTCTATAAAGATCGAATCCCACAACTCCTGCCTCATTTGAAGGAGATGGTTTTGTGTGGACAGAGCATTGGGCATGGAAAGTAGAGAGCTATATGTTCAATTCCAGGTTGGCTGCTTACTTTAAGAACTTGAACCTCTTCTTATCTGTGAAATAAAAACATCTACTTTATGACGTTATTGTGAGGATAAACAGTGCTATACAAATTTCAGTTATTATTATTATTATTATTCTGCCTTAGATTTATTAAAAATCGACAGCGTTCTTTCAAGGAGCTGGTGCTCCAGTATTAAGAATAAGAACGGCATTTTCCTGGCTGGGTACTTCAGTTGGCTGGAGCATCCTCCCTATATGCATGCCAAGGCTGCAGGTACAATCCCGGGTCAGGGTACATACAAGAGTCAACCAGTAAGTAGAACAACAAATTGATGTTTCTCTCTCTCTCCAAAAATCAGTAAATAAAAAACTGTTTAAAAAACGTTATTTTGTTCACATGATTACCAAAAATTTTCTGAGTAAACTGCAAGTCACTGGAAAGCATCATTTCCTTCCACTGGCCAAAAAACAAGCAAAGCAGCACTACCCTTCCAGGGCCATGGTAAGCAGAGACAGAAATGAAGAACTGGATGTATTCAGAGTGAATGAGGCAGAGACACTTTAGTTCATTATTTGGACTTAAAAGTAAAATCAAAGGTCAAAGTTTTCCAATGGGGATCAAGACATAATCAAAATTAAACACAACCTATAGCTGATTCAGAAAGCTCAATAATCATCAAAGTAATGAGATATTACTCATATATTAATTAATCCTGATGGCATCCCAAAGAAAAAATTTAATTCTTGTATTCTAATTACTTTTAATAACAGGAAAAACTTCAATGGACCAAGATGTACCATTTTAATAAAGCAGGTCAATAAATATTCTCCTTTCTTATCTATCCAAACTTCACCTAACTTTCAAGTTCCTTGTCAGAGAGCTTTCCATAACTATGCCACCCTTCACTGATTTCTCCCTTCTCAGGAACTCGATGGCTTATCATAAAATTTAACACCTATAGGCTCTCTTCTCCTGACCCTGTCCACCTTGCAAAGCATCATTATCTCAGTTTAAACATTTAATAACTGTTTTGTTTCATGTTTAGCTGCACTAAAATTTCTTTGGGACAAGGGATTATGGTTTTGTCTCTCCAAGAGGGCCTTTCAGAAAATAGAACCTACCATTTTGTTTATATGTTTATTTATTTTTAATTGAATCCAGAGAGGAAGGAAGGGACTGAGAAAGAGAGGGAGAGAAACATTGATGAGAGAGAAACATCAATTGGTTGCCTCTTGCATGCGCCCTGACTGGGGACCGAACCTGCAACCCAGATGTGTGTCCTAACCAAGAATCAAACCCATGACCTGTCAGTTTGTGGGATACACCCACTCAACTGAGCCACAGCGGTCAGCGCAGCATTACCATACTGTTACCACTTACTATGTGCCATATATTTTATTAAGTGCTTTACATAATTCAGCTTGTTTAATCATCACAATGTTATACTGTTGGCATTATTCTTCCTATTTTACAGAAAAACAAGCAAGGGTATAAAGAGGTTAGGCTGAAGTTACATAGCTTAGAAAAGACAGGGCTGAGATTTGAGCTAAAGTCTGTCTCTTGAAGTTGGCACAAATTAGAGACTGTGAACAAATATTTGCTGACTTATCCTAGTCATTGAATGTGTTGATGGTTGTTATCACCCCAAATGAACTAATGAAGGTAGAAACCTTGCCCAGAGACTTATGAGGTACAGGAGGTAGGGGTGCCCCTCCCTACAGAACACCCACCAGGTGCTAGGTTCGGTGCCTGGCACTTCACATCAAATGCAACTCATTTGCTCTATAAAAACTCCTTCCTCCAAATTGTCTTCAGCAAATAGCACGGATAACTCCTCCATCGGAGATTTACCCAAAATGTCACCCTCTCAAACTAAACACACATGCTCCAAGGTGCCGTGTGTGCTACACTCCTTCTGGGTCTCCCTTTGACTCGAGGAAGAAGACAAAGCCTCCTGCTTTCCAACAGCCAACAGGTTAAAAATCTCAGCTTTTAAAAACACGCATTTACCAAACGGCCTGGCCTTCTTCAGAACAGGCCATCCTGCTCTTCATTCTAACAATCAGGATCTCAGTTATTAACCACCACAGCCCTGGGAAGTAGGTAGTATTTTCTCCACTTAACAGATAAATAACGCCCAAACACACACACACGCACACGCGCGCGCGCAAAACAGTTAAGATCATGTAGCCGATGGCCAACTGGGTGCTGGAATCCAGGTCTCCTGGCTATCCACCCTGTTCCATTCCCTCAGCAGAAACCTATAGATGGTAACCGATTTATCTGGCGTCGCTGGGCACTCTAAATAGCAAAAACTCTAGAATAATTTTCACTTAAAAGGTAATTATTGGACGCCTGTATGTCAACCTTGTAGGTTCAAATACTACCCCATCTACTTATTCGCTGTGTGACACAGAGCAAGTCTGTTTCACCTCCTTAGATGAATTCCCTCATCTGTAAATGGAGATAACAATACCTACCAAACTGTCGCCAGAAATGAGATGATGAAAGTAAGTGAAAAGCCTGGCCCTATGTCTGACGGATGGTAGGCACTTAGTGGTTATAGATTCCCCTCACCTAGCTCCTCCGCCCCACAAGCCTCAGGGTTCACTCACTACCCCCACGCACAAGGTATCCCCCGGCCGGAGGCCTGCACGCGGCCGCCGGGTTTCACAAGCCAGGGGCCAGCCGTACTGTCATACCTGCATGGAGTCAGCGCTGACGATTTCACCACCGAGCCGCTGGCCTAGCTGCAAAGCCAGGGTGGATTTGCCGGTGCCCGTGGCCCCGAGAATCACCACAAGCGGCAAACTCCGTGGCAGGCCCCGGAGCCCAGGGCCCAAGGAAACTGCTCGTGCAGCCGCCACCGCTGCCATCTTAAAGACATCTGCGCTTGCGCGGAAGCGGCAGTCCCCATGACAACCGACAGTGCGCCTGCGCAGACGTAGGGCTCAGTAAGGAAGGTGAGAAGGGAGGAGGGAGTTGTGACACCAAGGTCCCCAAATGGTCCCCAAGCTTGAGAGGCTCCGGGCGTAACTGCCATCAACTAGCTGGTGTCAGAGTTTCAACTCCCAACTCTCTTACGTGGGGGATGGCAGTCCTATCTAAAAGAGATCTATCCCTATTATTCTGCCACAGCACCCAGTTACTTTTCTTCGTAGCACTGATTACAATATAAAATTAAAAATTGCCATGACTTTTCTTTTGTCTAACTTTCCATTCCAGGTTGTTAGTTCTATAAAAGCAAGAAACAGATTCTGCCTGGGTCATTGCTGCATCTCCAGTACTAGCACAGTACCTGATACCTAATAGGCACCCAATATTGTTAAATGGAGAGGGGAATGGCTTGCCTATCTAGTGCTGGAGGCAGTCAGCCCAGAAGTGTGGCATTCTCCGGGATCAGATCTGCCTGTGATCAGGCAAGAGTGGATGCTCTCATGTTTCACCCCACAATGCAGTCACACACACCGTCAGCGGGCAGGGCAAAACCTCCCATCTCTTTGGAGAAAGAGTGCAAGCAAGAGATGGGGTGAGAACAGAGAAAAACAAGTCAGCCACCCACAAAACGTGAAGAGGAAAAATAAGGAAAGTAGAAAGAATAAGGTAGTAGCTAATCGTCAGATTAAAAATGGAGGTGATGAAAATTAGGACCAGCGAGGACCAAAATCCAGGAGACTCCACAACCTTTTAAGAGATGTTGGGCTTTGGCTGGTGTCACTAAATTGGAGCATTGTCCCCTAAACCAAAAGGTCCAGGGTTCAATTAATAGGGCATATGCCGAGGTTGTGGGTTTGTCCCTGGTTCAGGTTGTGTGCACAAGAGGCAATAGATCCATGTTTCTCACATGGAAGTTTCTCTCCTGTCCCTCCCTTTCCCTCTCTCTAAAAAAAAGAAAAGAAAAGAAAGGGCTTTGGAATCAGATGGACCTGGGTTCAAATCCTTCTGGGTTACTTATCAGCTGTGTGACCTCACATAATAACTTTACTTCTTAGACTCGATTTTAGTATCATTAAATGCTTGTCAGGATAATCACAGGGAGAAAATAATGTCTGAAAAGTGTCTGCTACAATGCCCTGGCACATACCAACCACCATTTGTTGAATACTTTATATTATTTTTTAATACTTTAAATTTGTTTTTATTTTTAGAGAGAGGGGAAGGGAAGGGGAGTGGGAGAGAAGTATCAATGTGTGGTTGTCTCTCATATGTCCCCTCCCCTACTGGGAACCTGGCCTGCAGCCCAGGCATATGTTCTGATGGGGAATCAAACCAGCGACCCTTTGCTGCACAGGCCCGTGCTCAATCCACTGAGCTACACCAGCCAGGGCTGAATACTTTATATTATAATAGTAACACCCCATCTGTCTTACTAAAGAGGTAAGAGTAGCAGCAGCATAAGAGTATAGAAATTTTCAGTAATGCACAAGTGCCTAATACCTATTGTGTTAACTCCTTCTTAGCCAATTTAAGAGTTAATTGCTTTCTTCCTGAGATTACCTGTCTCCGTCTAACTCTCAGATCACAGCACCAGGGTCCCTTGGGCCAGAGGAATTTTTACTCCTGGAAGCTTAGAGCATATGTGAGAGTGCCTGCCAACATGTGGCCTGCCCAGAATAACTGCAAATGCCATTCCTCAATCGCTTGAATCACCGTTGGCATAATAGCCACTTTTGTAGCCACCTTTTGTTTGGAGAACACCAGATTCTAGGGTCCCCATTCCTCCTTTCTCAGTGCAGTCTGCTTTGATCAAAAGCCTTGTTCTCTCCAATTTGTGGTACCTGCCTGGGGCTGGTTTTGAAATCAAAATGTGTGGCCACATATTGGCAGACACTCTCAACACGATGGTTGTTAACTGTTGAGCCTTTGCCTGGAGACGTTCAGAGGGTATGGTTACCATGACAACCAACAGAAAGATGACAGGCTGGAGAAATAAATGATGCAAATAAAGCAAAAGGGAGGCTAATTTCATGACGACAATCTGACCATGACAGAGTATGCTCACTCACAGATGGGAAAGGACTGTCCAAGTCACGACCAGGTGACTGTTATTAGAGAAAGGAAGAAAGAGGGGGGTGGAATTTACCACTGAAAGACCAGAAGAAGGAGAGGCTGGTTGCCAAGGCAACTGGGGAGAAAGAAATGAAAAAGTGGGGCTTTACCACAGCAGCAGAAAATTGCTTCTCACCAAGCAACACAGGACTGTTGCTATAGAAACAAAGAGAACAGGGATCCTGTAGACCATGGGGAGAATTATCACTAAAATGCTGAGCAGGAAATACTCTTAAATCAGAATGGAGCCCATGGCCCAAAATAAATGAGAAGTGAGAAAAACATCGGACCATTTCCATTCATTGTCATTCTCAGTCCTAGCAAAGAGAATGGGAACACATTTTATTTATAATACCTTTTCAGTATTTTATTTGTACCTCTGGCCCCCTAATGATCCTCTGAACTCTAAATTACGCTAAGAATAGGTCCTGCAAGATAATCTGTAACTTGAAATCCTAATTGGTGAGATTAAGTTCAAGGGGAAATTGGGAAATTAAAGTCTATGACCAAGAGTTAATAAGTATTTCTAAAAAAACAACATAAAACCCTCTAATGGGAAGCTTTGCAGAGTAATAAGGACACAAAAGCCACCAAAAGGGAGTCAGGAAAGCTATTTGTAGTCATGCCCAGGTATTAGCTTTGACCCCCTCTCCTTTTATGAGGTCAGATGGGATGTAGCTTAATCTATTCTGAAAGATAGCTCAAGTGGACAGGGAGTCTCTCACTTAAAGTGTATGTACATACATAGAAGTGAGGGATGCAGAAGCAGCATCTCCAGTGCTTACAGATTATTTTGGGCAAAGAAATTCTAGTTGAAAAGGCAAAAATGTTGGGACAGGTTCAGTCTGGAAGAGCATATCTAAAATGTAGGAACGAGGTGCTGGGGATGCTCAGATTACTTGGAGGGTAATAATTCTTTGCCCATCCTTCTGAAAGTCCAGAGCCAGCTACCTAATTGTCACCCACAATGTGTGAGTATTGTATGTACCCTGGGGCAGATGTGGAGTCAGGCTGGGGGCCTCTGCACCTACCTCACCTTCTTTAGGAAACTGAGGGCAGTGCTTTGGGTTGGATGCACATGCGAACATGGCAGAAAAGGAGAAAGGGAGAAGGGCAGAAAGGCAGAAGGGAAATCTGGGTGATGACCCATAAGCGTTTGTTATATTATTTTCTTTTTAAAAATGATTTTATTTATTTATCTTTAGAGAGAGGGGAAGGGAGGGCAAAGGAAAGGGAGAGAAACATTGATGTGTGAGAGATACATCCATCGATTGCCTCTCGCATGCTCCCACCTGGGGACCTGGCCCACAACCTAGGCACGTGCCCTACTGGGAATTCAACCAGCAAACTTTTAGTTCACAGGCCAGCACTCAGTCCACTGAGCCACACCAGCTAGGGTTTATTATATTATTTTCTATCTTCTGTATATTTTAAATAATTTATTTTAGCCCTGGCTGGTGTGGCTCAGTGGGCAGAGCACCAGCCTGCAGACCAAAAAGTTGTTGGTTCAATTCCTATTCAGGGCACATGCCTGGGTTGCAGGCCAGGTCCCCAGCTGGGGAGGTGCAAGAGGCAACTTATGGATGTTTCTTTTCCTTTCTTCCTCCCTCCTTTCCCTTCTCTCTAAAATTAAATAAATGAACAAATTAAAAAAATATTAACAAAAATAATAATAATTTATTTTTAAAAATTTTTTAGAAAAAGGAACATAAAAAGAAGGCTACTGGTGAAACCATTAGAGTGGAAGGTCCATTCAAAGTAAAGCATCCAGAAAGCTCAAAGTTCAGGATGGAATTCTAGAGGGTGCTGGGGCAGTCTGGACAGAAGGAAGATTATGCCATGGGAGGACTGAAGCATCTGTTTCCAAGGTAAGAGAAGAAACTAGGGTCAAAGACAAACACTAGCCCTGGCTGGTGAGGCTCAGTGGATTGAGCACTGGCTTGCAAACCAAAGTATCACAGGTTCAGTTCCTAGTCAGGGCACATGCCTGGGTTGAGGGCCAGGTCCCCAGGTTGAGGCGTGTGAGAGGCGACCACACATTGATGTTTCTCTCCCTCTCTTTCTCCCCGCCTCCCTCTCTTTCTAAAAATAAATAAATAAAGCCATAAAAAAAAAGAAGACAAACACTAGCTTTTCGGTACAACCCAAGGTGCCTTTGCAACCTAACCCCATACTAATTAAGCATCCTAAATAAAAACTATTCCCTCTGGGGGTATTTCATGATGAACTTGGTGCCTGTATTAATTTCCAAGGGCTGCCATAACAAGTTAACCACAGACTGGGTGGCTTTAAACAATAGAACAGCATTCTCTCACAATTCTGGGGGCCAGAAGTCCAAGAGCAACATGTGGGCAGGGCCACGATCTCATGTTTCCCTCTATGGAAGAGTCCATCCTTGCTTCTTCTGGCTTCTGGTGCTTGTGCTTGCTGAGAATCCTTGACATTACTTGGTCTGTGGCAGCGTAACTCCTGCCTCTGTCTTAACATGGCCCTCTTCCCCATTCGCATGTCTCTGTGAATTTCCCTCTCTTTAGGACACCAGTCATGGGACTACAGCCCAGTCCATCATGACCTTATTTAACTCGATTACATCTGCAAAGATCCTATTTCAAAATTAAGGTCACATTCATAGGTTCTGGATAAACCTGAATTCCGTGGGGGATATTACACAACCCAGTACAGTGCCTGTGGGTAATCACACCTTCCATTGGTTTGGTGAATTTGCTGTCTCCATGGGTGATTAGTTAATTCAAATTTGGGAGCATCGGAATTACTCAAAACAAGCAAGGGGAAGAATAGAGTAGAGCTCACCATGTTGTAGGGTTTGT